CGTTCTTTCGCCGCTGCTGTAAGATGACTGAGATGGGGGAAACAGCAAAACAACCCGTGGTCATTCACGCATCTCATGCCACCGCCGTCGCCTCGAATACGGGTAACGATACTCGCAGCGGATCCGGGGCTGGAGCCGTATTTCACGCCACATGAGACCGCGGCGATGAACAGGACGCGCCCTGACGTGCGCACGATCGTCATTCCGAATTGCTCGCATGGGATGCCGAGGGAGGTACCTGAGGCTGTTGTACAACACGTCCTGGCAGTACGGCGGGCATGGAGTCCAGATATCCATGGCCAGACACCGGCTGTTTCCAACGAGGATGCGACTATGGAAGAGTGCGACGTTGCGAGTCTTCAGAAGACCGTGGCGGCACATGGGGTTGGAAGAAAGCGACATCCTGCGTTCGCTGGTAAGTGTCTCAATTTTTCATCGTTTGAGATGGAGGCTCATGGTGCGCAGTGGGTTCCTCTTGAAGGGTATACAATGTGCGGCGGATTCTGGGCAAGATTTCATTAGTTAGAATGAACGAGAGAAATGTCTTCCACCTTCTCAATTTGAATGATACCACTTTTTGCGCCGACATGGTTGTTGCGCGACTCACGCCGGCAATATCCGGACACGGTCGGAGAATACGGACCGACGAGTTTTCAGCTTCGCTCTTGACATCCATAACAAAACGCGTTTATTCGGAGAGGCCGTTCACTGTGCCACACGTTTCGACATAGAGAGTCTGTATTCACCTGGCAACATTCAAGGACTTCAAGCACGATGATGCCAATAAAGACGCGCCCATTGTATTTCAGGAGAGGGTCCGCATCTTGTGTGGCAGACGGACAACGACGCGAGATGTAAGTAAGCACACAATGCCCAACCAATTGTCTCCTTTGTCTGAGACATCCATTGCTCACTCTGCTGTACTTTCTCTTTGGCACCGTAACGCATTTACATCGCGTTATCCATCTTCTTGCCTTCCTAACTTCCTTTGTTCTAGTTGGCACATCGTTAACACCGACTCGGAGTTGGACCAACCCTCGAATCATCGCCCAGTAAACGAGAAAGCGTTACAGCGTTCAGCCTATTATCGCCTCGGAATGGGTTTTGGTTGGAAGCTCATCCGTCCAGTGGCGAGATGCGAGCTTTCACGCCTCTATTTCTGAACGATTGTTTTCCAAGTCCGACCTGTTTACGCGTTATGGAACAGCGCGCTGCTCCCATCGGCTAGAAGCTCCAGTACAATACGCGGGCCCGCGAACGTTCATCACTTTAGCATCTTCTAGGATGCCACCAGAGCCATCGAACATTCCTTCGAGTTCCGATGAATACGTACGTCGTTCACCGGTAACCGCCACACCGACCCGCTATCCAGAAAGCGCAAGCGATAAACAATGTTGGAGTCGGAGTACACGAATCCCGAATCCACTGAAGAGGTTACGTGAACTAAACGTTAACTCTAAAGCCGACGTGTTCGCATCGTCCAAAACCGCGAGCGCGCGATCTGATCTGATTCTGTCTCCTCCGACTCGCGTCCAGGGTCTGGCATCTCCGCTCCTGGATCTCTGAGCAAACGTTCCGGCGGGAGTGTCGCATTGCCTGTGGCGTAAAGGCGACAATGACTGACTGATGGATGACTCGGAAAAGTTTGAGGGAAGCGAGTACGGGTGTGTACGTACGCCGACTTGCCTTGAAAGTCGGGGGAAGGAAAGAGCCTGAACAGCTCTACTACCCTTGCCGTCGACGTCCTTGTCCCCATACACGCACAGACAATCCAAGCAATGCCGTCTCCAGAGTTTTACCAGTACGCCCTGCGCTTCTTCCTCTCCGTCTTTGCTGACTTGGCCTTGTATAGACCCCCTTCTTTCACAACGCTCCAGCTCCACGCCGGCCAAGTCCCCGACTCGACTACGCGGGCGCGCGCACCGCCGATTTACGCCTCTGCGGGGTTCACATTCAAGAACTCTCTCCATGGCGCGGAGCTGTTCGAGTTCAAGGCCAAAGGGAATGTGTATTCGCGTATGGCGAATCCCACTATTGTAGGTGCCCTAATGCTGTACAAGTATTATACATTTATGTGGGTGCCTTCCAGGAAGTCTTTGAAGAAAGGATCGCGACGCTAGAGGGCGGCGTGGCGGCTGTGGCGACGTCGAGCGGAATGGCGGCGGAGTTTATGGCTCTGGCGACGATTTGTAGGTTGGGTGATAATGTGGTTTGTCCGTGAGTGGTGTTTCTTTTGCAGTTTTGCTGCCAGTTACTTACTGGGTGTGTGGTAGGACGTTCTTGTTTGGAGGCGTGAGTGTTGAATTCGCTATTGGTCATGAGGCGTAAGTACTTACTTGATATCAAGACGTACAACCTCTTCAAAGGTACGTCCTTGACTTGGAGCTACGACGGTGCGGATATTAATCATTTGGGGCGCACGTACACCGCCAATTGGGATTGATGTTTGTCGAATGTAGAACAATGATAAATTTGCCTATCACACATTCTGTGCCCATTGTCGACCACATGACGTCTTTCAGGCAGCTATCCGCAAATCAAATAACGGTTTACCGACGTGTTGACGTCTAATTGACGTCGACTGATGGTGTCTACAGAACATGGTAATAATGGTAAGTTTATACCAACCGCAACCTTCCCATGGCGCATGTACGGCTCCTCAGGCGACGCACTCGCTGTGCACCAAATTGGTACTAAATTGGTAATGGGAAGCGGGGAGCAGACGGCGGATGGATGGCGGGCGACAAAATTCATTTGCAGGCGCGATATGGTATCAAAAATCATGATATACATTACTACTGATCAACCATACAGGTTCGCTACAACTCTGTGGGTCCTTGCACTCCCGGCCCAGCACCTCCTGCTCGTATTCATCATTAGAACCATTTTCGTCGCCATCATCGCAGGCGATCGTTGCCAATCTTTCCCAGATCTCGGTTGCCCAATCCGTTGCAGCAGACAAATAACTAAGCAGAGCATCAAAAGGCAGTTCAGAAACAACGTCGAGGGCGGGGATCTAAGGGCAGAATCGAGTTAGTAAGGTGAGATGATGGTGCAGGAACTTGGAAGAGACAGACCTGTGACAGGAAACGATGAAACGGACCATCAACGAATGCCTTTTCACATCCTTACCCAAATCCACCCGTAAACGTTTCTGCGATGTGACTGTGAAGGAGTTTAGCATGTCGTCGCATTCTTGTAAGGTACTGGTCATCACACCGCGTGAAGTACCAGCACTGTCCGTCAACAATGGACTCTAGGTCCAAGAAGGCAGAGGGCGGCGCAGTGGGTTTAAAGTTGGAGTGGGTGTACCCGCTGATCGAAGGAAAACAGTCATGCCAAGCGCGAATCAATGCCCAAGTTGTTTTGCACAGATCGTTCGAGAGGCTGCTAGGGAGAATACTGCCAGGGCAATTGATCATGGTAGTGGTGGTGGTGAGAGGGGCAGTGAACCGTGTTGTCTGACCTTTATAGCTTTTGGACAATGGCGGTCGTGGCAGGGACAAAAATGTGGATTACCATTTTGGTCATATGCACCACGACCTGTGTCCACCATTGCCGATAAAGGTGCCGATTCTGAGTGGACACGGTAATGATGCAGTAGGGCCATGCTTAGTGAACAATAGTGTCGACGTCAAAAGGGAGTCGGCCGACATGCCATCATGACATTACATGACTGATCTTACAAGGACAGCCAAAAAACCGGTGATCAACTCTCACTGCTGTTAACAAATTTCTGTTGACCGTCTACATAGCCAGTACGTTTTGCCCAATTGGTGGTGTAGTGACCCTCCCAAAATTCGGGATCAACGTCAAGTTCGTGCCGTCCCTCAAGGCGGAGGATCTAGAGGCCGCGATCGACGACCGCACGCGTGCGGTGTACGTTGAGACGATGAGCAACCCCAACTACAACGTCGCTGACATTCCCGCCATCTCCAAAGTACGTTTATCTCTCCCATCCTCACACAACGGCGATCCATACCCATCTAGATGGCCCACGCGCACGGCATCCCCCTCGTCGTCGACAACACCTTCGGCGCTGGAGGGTACTACTCCCGGCCCTTTGAGCAGGGCGCAGACGTCACAACGCACAGCGCGTCCAAATGGATTGGGGGACACGGCAACGTGATCGCTGGCGTCGTCGTCGACTCTGGGAAATTCGACTGGTCCCAGCATTCTGATAAGTTCCCACACTTTACCGAGCCCAACGAGGGGTACCACGGGCTCGTGTTCACGGAGCACTTTCGCGGGCGAGGCGTGCTGGCGGCGAAGATGCGGCTGGAGCTGATGCGCGATATCGGGGTGACGATGAGCCCGTTCTCGGGGTGGTTGTTGATTCAGGGATTGGAGACGCTGAGTTTGAGGGCGCAGAGGCATTCGGATAATGCGCTGGCGTTGGCGAGGTATTTGAAGGGGCACGAGAAGGTTAGCTGGGTGGTGTTTCCGGGGTTGGAGGAGCATCCGGAGCATGAGCTTGCGAGGAAGCTGTTTAGGAAGGATACGTGGGGCGCGATGTTGAGCTTTGGGGTTAGGCCGAGGGTGGAGGGCGGGGTGGAGGTGGATATGGGGGCACGGGTTGTGGATTGTATGAAGCTCGCGACGAACATGGCGAATGTCGGAGACTCGAAGACGCTGGTGATTAATCCGGCGACGACGACGCATCAGCAGTTGACGGTGGAGGAGAGGAGGGCAGCGGGGGTTACGAATGATATGATTCGGGTTAGTGTGGGGATTGAGGATGTGGAGGATATCATACACGATTTCAAGAGCGCGTTTCAAGTAGCGTTTGAAGAAGCTACGTAGAGTTGTTTGTAGTTTTCTGGCTAATTCATTAGAGACTCTTTCCCATCGCGAGTCCAATAATACATGTGAACGAAGTTGAAAACAGGCATGCTTCTGCAACAACCTGCTTCGCATTAAGATGGCCTGATCGCACAGTGGTAGATAGAGATCGACGACGGGGGCCCAGGAGATAATTGCGCCACACATTGCCTTGTCATGGCTCAATGGTCTAGTAGCATGATTCCTGCTTCGGGTAACACACCGCGCTTACGTAAGCGTTCAGTGCAGGAGGTCGCGGGTTCAATTCCCGCTTGAGCCCTATATCTCTGGTGTAGGTGTTTTGCTCGACGAAGCTAAGCAAGGGAGCGAGTCGGGACTCGGTGAGATCAGGATTCAGAGGATTTGCTCATCTTGCGACGACCTCAGATAGGAACTGTGATCGTGATTACTGTAACACTGGGTGTGTGTGTGTGTCAAGTTTTGTGTCTCATCTCCATCTTGGCAAGTTGTAAGTTATCGCTTATAGGACGAGACAGATGGATTCGTGCTCATATCGTCTATCAAAGACTGCAACATCTGTCAATGGCTAAGTAGTCTTATCATGCGACAGCTTAAGCCTTAAGATGTAGTAAGAGCACCACATGATTTCAGGTGACTGATTTGGGCAGGTGACTGTGCTTGTGTGGCGAGATGCTCCCCCCGATCAAGAAGGCCAATCTCACGCCACACAGGACTACACGGCGCTATAGCCAAGTGGTTACGGCGACAGATTAGAATGTGATGTTTGAGATTGGTAATCTGTTCCTCTTTGAGGGCGCAGGTTCAAATCCTGCTGGCGTCGGTGCGTTGATCGTGAATTCATTTTTACTTGCAGGCAGCAGCCTTAATTGACATAGGGTGGCGCAGTAAACCTACGCCTCCGGTAAGTAACGGTTAGTAACCTACCTCCCTCCCGAGCCGCGGTTTCGATACGGTTTCTTACCGTTACTTACCGGCACGTGATTTTATCATGTGACTGCCGCGCGCCACTCCGCCCGCCTCCCGCCCGCCCTTCCTGGTCCCCAGCGGCGCCCTACAAGTCACATGATAAAGTCATGTGCATGGTAAGTAACACCCCTCCTCGAGGTGGCCTGTTACTTACCAGTAACTTACCGGTAACTTACCGGTCCGAAACCCAAGTGTATCAAAACTAAGGGTTTACTGCGCCACCCTAAATTGACAATCAACCTATTATAGGGTTGCGCAGTATATTGCCCGAGGCGGTTAGTAACCACGGCGGAATATACTACCCTCATTTTGGGGTATGTTATTAACGGTTAGTAACTGTTATTAACCGCGCACGTGATACAATGTGGCGTATTTTCCCGGTCTGAGGCAAAAATTTCTTCTCGGGCCCTCAGAAACCTATCCAGTGGCTTCAAAGTCATCTAATTCGAGTTCTACTGATCCTCTAATGAATCTATGTGGTCTAGTGGCTCATTACCCGCCCTCTTGCCCGCAATCACCCTCCTCCCCGCCGATCCCGCCCCAACGCGCCCACCACACCCCACCTGTTCACATGACTGCATCATGTGATGGGTTAATAACTGCCCAAAAACTTACCTCTCGAAGGGGTGTTATTAACCCGGTTAATAACCGTTAATAACTGGTTAAATATCGAACGGCGCGATATTATAGGTATCCTGCGCAACCCTAACCTATTAGGATCAGTTCACTCATATTGAATTTACAGTCCACATGTACATGCAAGACATCTCCCAAATATGTACATTTACACTAACCTCTCCTCCGTCCACCCACCTCGTCACCCTCAGCCTCAAAGTAACCCACACCCTCCAACCACTTGATACACTCCCTCGCGCCCTCCTCCGTAACCGACATACCCTCCCACTCCTCCTCACTGCCCAACAACTCCTTGAGAGCCTCCCCTCCGACAGGCGGACTGCCCCAAAACAACGTCTCCAGCACATGCCCCAGCGGGGCGAGGGGCGATCCCTCCGGCAGACGCCCAATATACTCTTGCAGCGGCACGAGGGGGACACCCACAATCTCATGCAGATCATCAAACGACAGCAAACTCGGCGCCGTCACATCCACACCGCCCACCGCCTGCACGCACAGCGCCGCTTTCACCATAACCCCCGCCGCGGCGCGCACGTGCACAATGTTCAGCGTTCCGGGCGCCGCGGGCGCGCAGCCCACCAGCCGCGAGGTCTTGACGACGCGCCATATAAAGTCGTCCGTGTTGCAGCGCCCCCCGGGCTGCTCCCCGCCGACATAGCAGCACCGCACGACGCACCCCGCCATGCCCCGCGCCTGCGCCGCCCGCATCAGCGCCTCGCACACCCACTTGCTCTGCGTATACCCATTCGCCAGCGGCGTCTCGAGTGTCCCCGTGGAGGACACGAACACGAGGCGCTTGCGCATCTGCATGAGCTCGAGGAGGGAGAGCACGTTCGCGGCGCGGACACGGCCGTAGGGATGTGTCCAGTGTACGAGCGCGCCGTTGTGCAGCAGCACGTCGCACGAGGAGACGAGCGCGTAGTCCGCTTCGGAGAGTCCCAGCCGCGGGAGCGCCAGGTCCCCAGAGACTACGTGCAATTTTGGTGAGGGAGGCAAGGCCGATCGTACGAGGCATACGACCTTTGTTATACTGGGCTCGGCGAGAAGACCTTGGAGGATGTATCCGCCCAAGTATCCCGTCGCGCCAGTGAGGAAAACGGTCTTTGGTGGCGATGCGAGCGGGAACGAGGCAGGGATGGACGGGAGGAGACGCGCGACGTCGGACGTGTAGTCGTCCTCGTTGGGAATATTGCCTTGGATGAACGCTGCGCAGCCCCGGACGGTGGACTCGTAGACGGCCTTGTACGGGAGCGGCTTGAATGCGAGGCGGAGGGCCTGTAGGAGCTGAGGAGCGAGGATCGAGTGTCCGCCGAGGTCGAGGAAGGGCGTCGTGAGGGGGACACGGAAGCCAAAGAGGTTGGTCCAAATCTCGCGGACTTTTTCTTCGAGCTCGGTTCCTTGCTCTTCCCCGTACGACGGAGGGGGCCATGGAAGAGCAGGCTTGTCGACTTTGCCGTTGGGATTGAGAGGAAGCGAAGGGAGTGATATGAGGTCTGAGAAAGGTCAGCATGCATTTACAAGAAGAGAAGGAACTCACGAGTGGGAACACTATAAGCAGGCAGTCTCTCCTTTAACCACTTCCTCACGTCTCCCTCGCCCACGTAATAAGTAACCAACATGCCCTCCTTGACGAGCGTTGCAGCAGCCGTGACACCCTGACATGCGCGAAGCACAACATCCACCTCGCCCAACTCGACGCGATACCCCCGAATCTTCACCAAGTTATCCTTGCGCCCCGAACACTCGACATTCCCATCAGCAAGGTACCGCCCCAGATCACCACTCTTGTACATCCTATCCCTCGGACCCTTCCATTTAATGGAGAGAGTATCAGCAATCGGCTCCGTCCTAAACCAGTTGGCCCAAAACTTGTCACCGCCCTCCACCCCCAAATATCCCTCACTCATCCCCCCACTGCGCACATAAATCTCCCCCACCTCGCCCACACCACACAGCCTTTTGGTCGTCGGATTCACCACGAGCAGCTGGACACCCCTCATCCCCTTCCCCGCTGGAATAACATCCTTCACCTCCTGCATCCCTCCCTCCGCCTCGATAGCGTAGTAGGACACCGCCCTCTGCGTCTCTGTACTCCCATACATATTGATGATCCTCGCATTCGGACACAGCCTCCTCACCCGCTCGCAGTCCCCCTTGGTGAGGATATCCCCCGTCAAAAAGGCGTTCCTCAACGAGGGCATCGTCCCCTCCTGGCTTTGACACATAATCCCCGCCATGCCAGGGGTCATGTGTGCCGTGGTGATGGCGCACTCTTTCATCCACCCCGCGAGGGCGCCGCCTTCACCTCTGTATGTGGCCTCAGAGGGGATATAGAGTCGTGCTCCAAAGAAGAGCGGAGTGAAGAGGTCGCGCTGGATCGGGTCGTGCGCGATGCCGCTGAGCATGGCGAATCTCGCCGACGAGTCCAACCCGAAGCGGCTGCCCATGAATGGGTAAAAGGCGGTGAGCGAGTGGTGTCGGCCTTGAACACCCTTGGGCGTGCCGGTACTCCCGCTCGTAAACGTGAGTGTCGCGATGGAGTCTGGGCCGAGACTGACAGCGTCGTATTCTTCTTCTTCGCAGTCCTCGACTTTCAGTCCTTCTACTTTGAGGACGTGATCGCCCAGAGCATCCCAGACTTGTTGACACACCTTTCCTGCGCGTTCAATGGCGACAAATCCCTTCGGATGGGCGACGTCGACGTACAATGCCTGACGAAGAGGTGGGTACGCAGGATCCACGATGCAGAGGACCTAGGGAGGATTAGAGGAGGAAGGAACAAAAGAAGAAAAACTCACTCCACCAGCCATGAGGATACCCAGAGCACACACCAGCATCTCCACCCCGCGGAACGCGTACACCATCACGACGTCGCCTTCCTTGATACCCTCCAGCCGCCGGGACAACGCTCGTGCAGCACGGTGAATCGCTGCGTAACTGTACTCTTTTACGTCCTCCCCGGAGTAGTCAACCAAGCACACCCTCTCGTCTCCCCCGTCCCTCGCAAAGCGCGTAAACACATCCGTAATCGCGCCCTGCCATTCGCACCAACCCAAGTCCGCCGCGGGGTCCGGGAGTGTCGCTTGTGATGCAGTCACCAACGAAATCTCCATCACGTTATCTTGAGAAGAGAGAACAGCCTGGATCTGTTCAACAAGCAACTCCATCCGCGAACGCGCAAACACACGCCCGTCGAACTGTACTTTCACCTCTCCCTCCTTAATAAAGAGGCCTGCCTGTACACCGAGCACGTTCACGCCGACACCGACGCCTTCCCCTCCTTCCCCGGATGCTATGGTATCCAGAACATCCTTCAGCGACCATGCGCAGTCGGGAGGAAATACGACTCGGGCGACACCCGAAGGAACGAGAACAGCAACGTCTGCGTCTCCCGTGAAACGATAGAGCAGGACCAGGAGCGCGGCGGCAATAATTTTTTCGTTATCTTCATCGTCGGACAACTGGAGATGGCCCGTGTACGATTCCCACTGCGTACACGCTTGAGGTATCGACGGGTAGTCTATAGGGAGGCGCGTATGAGGGATCTAATTGATTGATCTTTAGTATCAACCGGCATGGAAGAACAGACTACTTACAGGCGCTGCTTCACAGTCCTTGTCGCCCTCATCTTTTGTCTGCGATAGTCAGACAGTGTAATGCGAGTAAATGGTCAACATACATTGTCCGCAGACTTGGGTTGCGTTTGCAACTACCGCGGGAACATCAGCCAACAAACCTCTGAGGAGTATATCAGCCAACCTTTTTGGAAGAACCATCATCGTTATCGTTCGTCGCGTTCGCCTAGAAAGGTCGTCAATATTGATGGCCAACAGCGCCTAGAACAAGGCAACGTACAGGTTTCTCGATAGCCATCGTGGTTTCGGAGGTTGCTCCCCCCAAGTCGCGCTCTTTATCAACCACCGCAGCACGGATGGGGCGAGACGCGAAGACGATTACGACGTTCTCAGTCTCAACCCAAGAAGGATACATGTCCATCGACGCGATACTCAATAGCTCCATAGTAGGCGTTCGACAGCGCACATCTCTCCTCCGTTTGGACCGGTTGCGTTATCCCGCAGAATGGTGTTTAGAATAGCGAATATGGTGAAGAGCCGGAAGTCGACGTTGCGTCGGTAGTTCGGAGGAGAGCGGAAGAAATGTGGAAGCGACAGCGAATATCCCCAAATACGTGTCCCGAGGAGCACTTTAACCCTTGAGGTTGATCGTGCAGGACGTCAGTCGAAGCAGTGACGCGCGGATGCTGCTGTAACATTGCCGCGGAAGGGGATGGAGGTCGAAGAGCGGCGCAAACGGTCGCGAACATGGTGGTCAGAAGAGAAAAGTGCCATTGATCGCGATCGGGTTCGCGTCCCAAAAGATGCGACTGGGAATCAACTTTAAATCGCCTCTCCTTCGCCGCGCACTCCCATTCACCATGCTAACCATCCAATCCACCATCCCCCTCTCCAACTCTCCCGGGAACGCGATCCCCATCCTGGGCTTCGGCGTGTACCGCAACCCGCCCTCGACATGCACCGCGTCCGTCCTGCACGCGCTGCGCGCCGGGTACCGGCACATCGACACTGCGCAGCTCTACGAGAACGAAGCCGCCGTGGGCGAGGCCGTGCGTCTCTCCGGCATCCCCCGCTCCGCGCTGTTCATTGCCACCAAGATCCAGTCCAAGGACTTTCACCGCGTGCGCGAGGCCGTGGAAGAGAGCCTTGCTGCTCTCGGAGATTACATCGACCTGGTTCTGCTCCACGAGCCCTACGGCGGACCCGCGGGCCGACGGACGGCGTGGGAGGCGCTGTGCGCTATCCAATCAGCGCCTTCGTCGCGCGTGAGAAGCATTGGCGTGTCCAACTTTTCGGAACGCCACATCCGCGAGCTCGCGCCTCTCCCTCTTCCCAGCGTGAACCAGATCGAGCTGCACCCGTTCTGCCAGCACCGCGCGCTCACCGCATTCTGCGCCTCTCAAGGGATCATCGTCTCGGCTTTCTGTCCTCTCGTGCGGGGAACAAGGAATGAGGATGGAGTGATCAAGGCCATCGCGGAGAGGGCGGGAAAGAGCCCAGCACAGGTGCTGGTGAGATGGGCGTTGCAGAAGGGGTATGTACCCCTGCCGAAGAGTGAGAGGGAGGAGAGGATTAGGGAGAATGCGGATGTCTTTGGGGAGTGGGAGTTGAGTGCGGAGGATATGCAAGCATTGGATGGGTTGGATGAAGGCCAGAAGGGGAGTATTAGTTGGTGGCCCTATGATGAAGAATAGAATAGTTTGGACTTGAAATGTTTTCGTATCGCATTGTATGGCATACAGTGCAGTCAGTGTCACTGGTGACTGGTCAGGCACCACTAGGGTAGTGGAAACAACCTAGGTTAGCATACCGAGAGGTTGTTTCCCGGTAAATTACCGGTTATTTACCGGTTCGTAACCTCAGAGCCCAGGAGCTAGGTTATTTACCTCCACGTGACATTTTCACGTGATCGGTGGCGCAGAAATTCGGGAAGCTTGCCGCCATTAGCACTAGGAGAAATGTCACCACAACAACTTGTTAAGAAAATGAAAAATGCTAACAATTGGGAGCTGAATTCAACCAAAATTCAGCACAAGAGCACTCTAGGTTGACTCTGGCAGCTCAAATCAGGCTCAACAAAATACAGGGTTCAATTGGCTTAGAATTACATGGGAGAGAAGGAGAGAGAACTACATAATCAATATTTAACTGTGGTGACACCAAGAAAGTGGGCATGAGGCCAAAGGAGAGAGCACACACAGATAACAGCAGGCAAAGAGATTCCCGCGAAAAGGTCACGTGAATATATCACGTGCTGGTAAATTACCGTTTCTAACCGGTAAATAACCTCTTCTGCTGGGCGGGTAGGTAAATAACGGTTATTTACCACCCCCGGAGGTTATTTCCACGACCCTAGGCACCACTGTTAGTAAAGTTCTAAGATAATTTCTGAAAAAATACATGGACCAAGACCCAATTGACCACCGCAGGGCTCGAACCTGCAATCTCCTGATTACGTAATCCCCACTGCAATTACATCGTAGTCAGACGCGATGCCATTTCGCCAGGCGGCCATGCGAGGTTGAGAAAGTGTGGCGTATAACCAGGGAAGGCAATGATCGGACTTCGATCATGACGAAAATGATTGACCTGTCCTCTTCCTTAGACTTGTTGAACGACAATGTCTACACCCGCCGCTCCCGCGCCTGCTTCAGGCGGAAATGCTCCAGGCCCCGAACAGGAGGCGCAAGGTGGAATTCGTCGGTTTATGGGAATCGCTCAAGTGTGTACACCCATCCATTGCAATAATCAACTTTGGCTGACTTTGTATTCGTAGCAAATATTCATGTTCTGGGCCATCTCTCAGCTGGGTACAACACCGCACTTCCTGTTCTTTTCTGTCCACACTTAACCGTACCCTGCAGCAACCAGATTTTTCGCACCCAAACCAGCAGTGACGCCCGATGCTGCTACCATGTCCACCCAAGCTCCGGGAACGACTAACACAGAGACCGTCGACCCGTGGTCGTTACCGCCAAAACAAGCTACCCTAGCCTGGCCGCTGGGCGACGCCCTCTCCATGCATGTCTACCTCACCACTTCGCCTCGCCCAGACCTCGCCCATCTCACAGAAGGTGGCCTCCCGCATTTCGTATGGGATGGTTTGACTTTCGGGGACTATAAAGACTCGCGCAGCGTCGAATATAACGTCGATTTTCCTGAGGTGCGCCTTTTCGTGTTTGACCTGGACAATTGTTGACATGTTTCCAAAGAGCGTCAAGCATAACGGATCTTTATACGCGGATATATTCCTTCTGAGAAACGGAGCGTCGCTGGATCGCAGCAGCGCAGCGTTCAGGCCGGACGACATTCATTACATTCGCAAACGTGCGTGTAACACTGCGAGTTCAACTTTTGACTGACGCGATATACGCAGTGCTCACGCCTTACCTCCCACGTGAAAAGGTACGCAAGGCGAAGAACCTTTTATCCCAGGATGCTAGCATAGCAGGGGAGGAGGAAGAGGAAGAAGCCGACGTGATTATGCCATATTGGCACAGTGTGCGTATCTTTACATCTTATTCTAACCCATAGCTCACAATGTATATAGAACATTACCCTAGCTCTCGTCTCCGACGCCAATCCCGTTCCGTACGCGTCCCTACCGCCGCCCGTCCTCGAGCGTAAACAGCTATCCTCTCTTTCGTTTCCCATTTTTTAATCTTCATTATAGACATTCACCTTATCAATGGCGTGCGTGATCCTACAGGAACCACCGGCTCGTACAAGCCTATTCTCTTTCCCAACGAGTTCTGGCACCTGCGCTCCCATTATGTCGAGGTCAACACATCCACCACCATCCTCCCTGTTACGTTCACCTTCCAGCCCATGTCCTATATGAAATTCCAGCTCTTTGCGTCCATGACCCATGGGTTCAAGGAGGCGGCCAAGCAGCAAGGCGGTGCGGGTGTTGCGGAGATGGATGAGATTAAACGGATGCTGTTGGAAACGAATCCGTGGTTCTTGGGCCTCACCGGTTTGGTTAGTATGCTGCACGTTGTGTGAGTGCTCATTTTTCGTTCTTTGCGTCTTCTCATCGATGTCAAGCTTCGAGATGCTCGCGTTCAAGAGCGACGTGTCGCACTGGCGGGAGAAGAAGGAGATGGTGGGCGTGTCCGTACGCACGATCGTGACGAACGTGTTTGTGCAGATTGTCGTGCTGCTTTACCTCATTGACAACAATGACAACACGAGCTGGATGATCCTCTTCGGGTCGGGAATGGGCGTGCTGATTGAGGCATGGAAGGTATGTTTATTATACCTCCATATCTTTTGGAGACTGACTTGAATTTAGATCACAAAAGCTGTCGACATCTCTGTCGTACCCTCTGCCGGGACGTTGCTTCCATACAAGCTTGAAATTAAGGACAAACACGTCCTCAGCGAGGATGAGAAGAAAACGCAAGAATACGACAAGCTTGCGTTCCGGTACGTGTCGTACGCGGCAATCCCACTGCTTGCAGGGTACACCGTTTACTCGTTAGTATATGAGAGTCATCGCGGGTGGTACAGCTTCATCATCTCGACCCTCACGTCGTTTGTGTACATGTTCGGATTCGTGAGTGTACCTATTGCCTGCTTATTACTGTGAGCTCACGGGTTTTAGGCGCAACTGGTACCGCAGCTTATTATCAACTACAAGCTCAAGGTGGGCGCTTTTCCTCCTACTTTGTTGGCAGTGCTGACTCGGATTTCCTTAGAGCGTGGCGCATATGCCGATGAAGGCCATGATATACAAGTCTCTGTCGACGGTCGTGGATGATTTGTTTGCCTTTTGTATCAAGATGCCATTCCTGCATAGGCTAGCCTGTTTCCGCGACGATGTCGTGTTTGTGATTTTCCTGTACCAGGTGGGTTGTCTCGACTGCCGTTCGTCGTTTGATTCTTGACCTGTTGGTAGCGCTGGATATACAGGATTGATCCTAAACGGGTTAATGAATACGGGCAGGTTATGGCACACGACGTGGACAAGGCAGAAGAGACTGAGTCCAAGAAGAAGAGATAGATGATTGGAGCGTTGTTCTTGTGATCCATATTGTATAATTTGGGTTAATGAGTATTGGATAGAGTTGATGGTCACAGCCAAGAGCAGTCAGTCTCATCTGGAATTTCTCATGGTTGCCTACCGCGGCCGTTTATCTATGTCGGTCAGATTCTGCGGCCGAGGTACAAGTGTTCGCTCAGCTTTCGTGAATGAGAAGACATGTACTGGTTATGCACGTAGATTCAGCCGTCAGTAATTGTAGCGCCATGCGATAATAGATAAGTTGCGTAGTCATTATCGAGGATGAGAAAGTGAGGTCTACAGTGCCTGCGATCCCAAGCCAGCACGCCACGTGGACCGTAGCTTGATCGTGATCGTGGCCGTTGGTCTCTTGCTCTCCGCGTCCATCTTTCCTGATCCCGACTGCAGTCAGTGGGATATTTTCAGCTTTTGCCCACCCGCCTCTTCCCTTTTTGTTTGCCCGCTACGCGTGGCTGATCTGTTCTCGTCCCCGTACGGGTTCGTTGGTGCGTCGGGAAATCCGACGGTCACGTATCCTTCCCGCTCGTGTTTCCGGGCCCGCTTCCCGACCCCGCCTGGGCAGGCGGCTGGCACCTACTCACCCGCAACCCACACTCTCGTTGTCTTTGACCGACATTGCGTCCACAAGGAACATAAACTCTCTGGACTAACTTATTGGGCTCGTCAGAGGACAGGCGATCGTCCTCGGTTTATCGGTCCGTACCGCCGCTTCCATCTCTTCCACCACCCACCATGGCGAAGCGAAAGGCTAAAACTGCAAAAGCGGCGCCTCCGCAAAACGAGCAGGTCGATATGGTCAATGCACCATTCTTTCCTTTTGCCCGTTACACGTCCATAGTCGGCGTACACACCAGCCTTCTGGCGTTTGTTGCCCTTTTCTTTCCAAGAATGTTTATCGACGACCGCATGGAACAATCCAGTTCAAAAGACAGACCACAGCATCCATTCCTTGTCGCGCTCACGACGTCGCCGACGATTACGGTGTCGTCCATGATTTTAGGCGTCGTTATACTGCAAGCATGGTGGGGAGGCTGGATCCGCGACTGGCTTATTGATTATTCGCTCCATGGCTCTGACGACTCGCGGCGCCTCGACAAGGCAAAGATCAACGAGCGTAAAACTTCTGTGAGTGATATCCAAGATGTTGAATCAGGATACTGACATGGTTGACGTGCCAGGCTTTCATAAACGCGTGGGCCGCGACACTGGTTGTCTCATTCGCGTTTCATTTCATCATTGTACTTTTTGGAGCTCCTATTTTCTCCAGGTTTGTGTACTCATCCCTCGAAATACATCGTCCACTGATCGAGTTGACACAGCGGTCTGAACACGTACCTTCTGTCGCTCCTTATATCTCTCCTCAGCGTTTTCGCTCCTACGTACACCTATGGCACACCTTCTCTATCGTCTGACACAGAATCCATGGCTATCAGAATGACGTGGACAAGACTCTTTGCCGAATTCTCGTATGTGGTGTCCTTCCGAAATTTAACTCGTGCTGAGTTCTTCAGCAGCATTCGAAGTCCTGTAGAACGAGCCATTGTCTATCCTTCAGCTGGTGCTATTATAGGTTGTTGGCTTGGAGCAATACCCATTGCTCTTGACTGGGATCGCCCCTGGCAGGTAAGCATTATCATCGCCTACTATAACAGCTCATGAATCTCTTAACAAGGCCTGGCCACTGACTCCTGCATTTGGAGGCTTACTTGGGTACATTCTGGCTTCTATTGTTGCCCTTACCATAAGCGCCATAACAGCGTTGGCACAGGAAGATATCCGAAGAGAACGCTTGAAAGCGCTTTAGGTGAGTTCATTTCCGGATGTACAATTTCTCCGAGTGGCACCAATTTTATTTTCTACTCATCCAGAGTGTCTCAAAGCGTCATGTACATGGATTTTATATCATTATTCAAATGGTTAATGACAAGGCGCACGTACGAAACGGAACAAATGCCGGCTTGGTCCGAGTGGCAACTCTCTTTGTACCAATGTTTTCATGCGTGACCTTCAGGACGTCCCCTTTGCGTGTCATTGTTGCCACCCTGGCCTTTTTTGACACTTGTTCTCTCCCATCATGGCACAGAGCTCTCCTCGAATGCTGCCAAGCACGGTCGTACAGCGAATATTCCAGTTCACACTCCCCAACAAACCACGTCTCGTACATACGGAGGCACCACTTCTACTCACGCAAGTTTGTCACTCGTGGAGACGAGCCGCATATCGAAGCCCACAGTTATGGAACGAGCTCAGTGTCGTCGTAGATATCGAAGACGACGGCGACAGCATTATTGGAATGTCTTCCCTCGTGTGTCGGTGGCTTGCGGCGGCCCAGCGTTTACCACTGGGAATTACCATTCGCGCGAAACAAGCCTCGGTGCGCTCAACTGGTGCCGTACTTTGGGGCCTTATAGACGTTCTTCTGGCGTTCTCTTCACAATGGCAGCGCATCGACTTGGCCGTACCCGCTGTATCATTGCGTTCATTCCT